AAATGCTTGAAGCTTACATCTAGAGAGCGTGTGCACAAGTCTACTATATCCGTTATTTGGTAAGCGAATTGCATACAAAATTTAGCAGTTTCCACCCGCTGAAACAAGTTTCAGGGATAAACGGAATGGAGGATTGGAGCTCCCACGAATCATTTTTTAAGTACATTATATGATATTGTTTTTAAGATAAAGCACCTCTTATTTACAGTATCCTGAGGTGCTCAAATTAGAAGAAGAACTAGGACACGTAAGGACAGCTGCTAAAGTCAAGTGAGTTTTACACGGTTTTTTTTTTTTTTCATGTTTGTTTCTCTATTTGACGTTGCGTTGTTATCTGGATGTATTCAGTAGGCCTGGTAGTCTTAGAGGAGTTTTGGCAATTCGCGATTGTTATGGAGTATACCGACCTCCGAAACACGTCCAGGAAGAATGGGCTTAAAGGCCTGCAAGCTGACGTAAACTTTACCATCCTTGAAAAAGTCTTTATTCTATTTCAGTTTGGGTGAGTTGGAGAGTGAATCAGCTGCCATAAAAAAAGAACTCAAAGAGGTCGAGAAGGTAAGTTAAGCTTTGTAAAATTCTACTCACTCTGGAAATTTGGTGTGAATTCTTTGTGAATCTACTCATCAACTTGTTTCGTAGGAGCTGGAATTTCAGCAAAAGAAGAAGGAACGAATTCACGGCGACAAGTTTGTGGAAGCGATTGGCTCTTTCGTGAAAGTGGCACAGTTTTCGTTGTCTGAATTGGACGAATCTTGGAAAGATATGAAGCAAAAGGTTAAGTTTCGATTGTCTAAAGCGTTCGGTTTGTCAGTTGACTTATCTGTCAATCTTTCACAGATAGAGAGCTTTTTGATTGGCTGTTGTAAAACCAAAACTAAAGTAACCACCAATCAGAATAAGGAATAACCTCTACGTAAAAACCAGGTAAACCGCCCAAAGCGCGGGAAAAGGTAGGCGACCGAGTTGTGATTGGGTTCAGTTTTGTATCTGTTTGGTTGGGAGAGTTGTGCAAGTTTTCTGTACCACTCAAAACCAAGCAAAGTCAGTGCAATCCTGGATTTCATTTGACACTACATTGAAGATTGGTGTAGCTTTCCATTTAGGAAAGGAATTAGCTCAGTGGTTTATTCAACAGCTTATTGTTCAAAGTACTTATGCAATTACGCTAACGAAGTTTCCTTTCTGTACAATAAAGCGATAAATTCTTGTTGCTGTTTCTTCAGTATGCTAAGGCAGTGTCCATGTTTGGGGAGGAACCAAAACAGCTTCAGTCTGACGAATTTTTCGGCCTGTTTTCAGCATTCCTGGTTTCATTTGCAGTAAGTTTTTCCTTTCTTTTAACAGTCAACTACCGGAAGCCAGTGACCTTTTTATATTACATATCAGGACGTCCGGAGCGGAATATGTATTTTGTCAAGAGAAAGATAAAATAGATGTGTTAATTAACACCCAGGTTCTAATCAGAGTGTATATTTTGTTTTCTTGCAGGAAGCAAAACATCAGAACGAGGAAATGAAGAAAAGGAAGGAACAAGAAGAAAGAAAAGCGCGAGCATTGGCTGAGGTAAAGCAGATTTGTGATTTTTTGTTATGTTTTGTTTTGTTTTTGAAATTCCCTTGCTGTTTTTTATTTTTCTGAACTGGAATAACGTACTTGACTCCGGCAGAAGAGGTCCTAGTTCAAACCAAGTCTTTGTGATTCACATTATCGCAGAAATTGAAGTCAGAAATATTCCATACATTTGCTGGGATGAACGAGGCTTTAAGGATTCCTTTATAAAAGATTCTTACTTGGCTTTAATTATGGATTTTAAAATAAATAACCCATAGATGTGAAATGTAAGGTGGTTTTGACACCTTTGCAGCTATTATTGACGAAAAAAATTTGTTTTTATAAGATTCAGAACGTTTCCTTTTTACTTTAAGCAAAAGGAAAGAGACCGACAAAGATCAGCGGCTAAGAAAATCATTCATAACAACGAAGCGCCAGTAAGAAACAGCAAAAAGATGAGTACAGCGGGAGATAATCGGGGCGAATTCGATGATTTAATCTCCGCTCTAAGAACTGGGGACGTGTTTGGAGACGAACTCAGTAAAATGAAAGGTCGTAGACGAACGGCGCCTCCGAAGCAGGGTTGGCGTGTCGAAAACGGTTCCGAACGTGAACGAGCCTCTCCGAGAGCCTCACCGAGGATACTACGAAAGAATTGAATACCGCCAACAATCTTCTCGGCGCATGGTTTGCAACATTGGTCCTCGCACAATTGAATGCTGTTCGTATTTCGCTTACAAACGAGTCTTTCAGAGTACGTAAATTTGGATTAGGATGCTTAGAAAAGAATTGTACTGTTTTTTGCTGTAAAGTTTGTTAGTTATGTATTTTATTTGAAAGCGAAATATGGCAGCTTTACACAATGCTATTTCCTCCAAGGAGAAATAGAAATTTACTAGAGACAGTCAATAGAGTTCTCAAAATGGAGGGAAAATGAAAACACAAGGAAACTTGAATAAAAGAGAAATGAAAACAAAAGGCTCAAGCAAGACAGGGAGTCAAGTGTTGAAAGATTTCACGAACAAACTAAAAAGGAGTGAAAAAAGTACCGTCTTGATACTTGAAACCGTGAGGAGAGTATCAAGTAATAATTTCCAAGATAGTCCGTTGCAATTTAATCAACATGTAATGCTTTGAGAAGGTTTGGTTATACGTTAACTAAATTTGAAGGTGCAGTTTTTAATTTGCGCATCATTCGGTGCAGTATGAGGGGGTAAAGATGAAATGGAAACACTGATGTGATCTGATAGCAATATATTTACCTCACTGGAGACTAGGTTTAACCTTTAAAGAGTTTTTTTCGCGCTGAAGAAATGAGCAAAACAGAGCTCTAAGCCGCCAGGACAACAATTCCATTGTGTTCAGTTCGGGGACGGTTTCCCAGCCGAATCCTTTCAGTTTCTTTGCTAAATACAGTAAGCAGTTAAGTAAACAACGTTTTAATAGCCCTTTAAGCGTTACACGTAAAGCGTTCAGATTTCTCTTTGCTTAGCGATTTACTTCATAAGTTCAAAGTTTTTGATGTTTCTCTCAAAACGAGGGCTTGTTTGTGAGACAGACAAACTTACAGCTTGCAGATAAAATGTTCTTGCATAGCTGTGATTAGTTTGTGTCGATAGAGGCGAGACTCTTGCAAACATGTCTTATTTTGTCAGAGAATGATGTCAGTTCTCCCAATTCATGACTTGTTCACCTAGTTAAAACAAGTTGACAACTTACTAGACTGGTTTAAAAAGTGGCAATCGATTGTGCAGGAATTTCCCGCCAGAATTGCGTTACAACAACTGAACAAACTCTGCTATCGCCGCCCTGTTTTTTCCCGATTTATTTTATACATGTCGTAAAGTATACCTAAATTCAATAGATAAATATATATTAAATCATATTGTAACTTAAATTGATTTCTAGTTTTGTTACATATTTAGTTCGAATATTATATCCTGACCTGAGTCAGCAATTCGTACTGGAAAGTTCGCCTCGTTGATTTGACTGAAGAGCACTGTTATAGAACTGTTTAAGGTAAATTAAATTTCTGTATAGAGACAGACTGGAATTACTCTGGATTATTCTGTCGATAATTTCATTTGAATTCTGTTCGCCTTGCAGTTCAATGGAGGCGTTTTATCATTTGTACGTATGTAGGCTTTTTTTGTAAATTAAAGAAATACGCTACGTTTTTCATTCGTAAATTTGACAAACACAATTAATTTGAATAAATGTGGCGAATGTGTTGTGATTCGTTTGTTTTATTCTTCGAACCCGGAGTTTCCAGTTTGTAATTATGTATGAATTCTATAACGAAAGCTGTTACTACCGTAAAGAATTTTATATATTGGTGAGAACATTAGTAACGACTCTACAGCGCCACGTGCGCTACTTTTTTATTCTTCTCACATTTTTATGTCATCTGTGATCTTTTCAAAAACAGATGAACACGTTGCTTTCTCTCAACGTCTTTGTATATCTTGGGAGGAGGTAGGAAGGTACTTCGAAGAAGCAAAAAGATAAATGGGGATGTGTCACCGGATAGGGTTACATTTTTACGCTTAGATTAACTATTATAGAGCTGATTTTTCAATAGTGCCGCTGAAATTGGGACGAAAATCTTTTAGATTATTGGTTTGGGGAAATTCTGCTGAGTGGGGATTTAAATATGAGGGGGAAAACTTCCCAAAAGTGACAAGTAACTATGATTGGGTTAGGGTTCGAAGAGGCTAATTCCTTACTGACAGGGACTTAACTTTTGTTTATTCAGTGATATGTCTTCCTGAAACGGGTCAAGTTCTTATCACCACAGGACGTTTAAAAAGCAATTTGACACAAATTCGATTCCAAAGGCATTGTTAAGGGTGCAATGCAAACAGAAACCAGAAAAGGTCACACGTCGAGTTCTCAGCAGCACTGGGTTTAGTTAACGCGATTTGAAGCACATTCGACTCCCAGAGGCATTTTGACCAATGTGGAATGGAGAAACCGGAATAGATCAGTTAAACAGAACCTTGAGATTCTGTGCCAAAATAGACGAAGAAGTTGTCGCTTTGCCGAAAGAAATAATTTTTAGTCGGGTTCAAAGACTTTGCGGAACAGTTTCATGAAAAAATCAAACGCACAACCAGTTTCTAAGACCTTGGTGTTGCCATCGTTACTTCTCTCTGAGATCGAACTCCTCAGTAATCGCCAAATGTGTCAAGTTTTGAACAAACCAAGTGAACCTCATAACACAGCAAAAGGAGAAAATGGGCGTGGAATGGATATGTCACATAGTGATGCACAGAAAGGTAAGTTTGAATTGAGAGGGATGTTTATCATATGGCTGGCAGCGCCCGTAGTTAAGATATAGTGAATCCTGTGTTCTCACTGGCTATCCCAGCGGGCAGGATGGACCCATCTTGTCCGCTCGGGATCTCACGCGATAAATAGAGGTGCGTGGAATAGAATTAAAACCTTCGTAACTTTAGGACAATGTCAGCTACGAAGTCGTAAAAAGCGACAAAAAACATTTCCTTTATTCTCGTGACCTTTAATGTGTGATCCAGGAGTGATATTTTCAGGTGAAATTAGATGCTAGTCACTCTGGGGTCAAAAGCTTTCAGTAGTCAGGACGTCACGAATCCCGTTATTAATACCCTGATCGATATGAAACATGGAGGGGTTAGGTTTTAACGACCTATGGTTGAAATTCATAGAATGAAATAAATGGCAGGGAAAACAAGAAGAATGAAACGTTGACTCTTCAGCGATCCGCTCACTGTCATTTGAAAGCAGTAGGGTGCAAAGAAGTTTTGAGTTGTGACGCCGACTGACCTAACCGTATCCATTGTCAAAATTTGATTCTGAGAGAATTAAGCAACTAATTTTTCTATTTATTTACTGTAAAATCGAAAACTCGTTCTAAGCGTTCATTTGGTATTATTGGAAAGAAATCCAACGAGACTGAGAACATCGATCGCGAAATGTAAGTTAGGTTGGAAAAGAGCTGCAAACGCGTTTTCTCAAAGGACGAGCGCATTTGACAAAAATTAGATGAGCACGTTGGTCTCTTAACGCGACCTCTCGATAAAACTTAAGTTCTTTTAATTCAGTAAATGATGTTGATGAGACAGGTCAATTTGTTAGGTCTTCCCATCATCACAAGATGCTTGGAATTTTAAAACCGCAATGCAAGGAGAACTGAACCGGAAATGGTCAGACGTGAAGTTCTCACCAGCACTAAGTTTGACACACATTTGACTCCCAGAGGAATTTAGACAAGAGTGCAAAGAAAGCAGGAACCGGAAATGATAACATATAAAAGCCTTAGGATTCTGTGCCAATACGCAATGCGTTCCCGTTCGTTTCAGCAAACGTGGAAGTTATCTCTTTATCGGAACAAACAATTTAAGTCCGGTTCATAAGATATTACGATTATTTGGAACAATTTCATGGAAAAATTAAAAAGCAAAATCAGTTTCTAACACATTGGTGTTGTCATCGTTACTTCTCTCTGTGATTAGTTTCGTGGGACTGATTCATGTCGAGATCGAACTGCACACTAATTGCCAAATGTGTCAAGTTTTGACCAAACCAGGTGAACAAAAGATCGAACCTCATAACAGAGCAAAACAAGAAAATGGGCGTGGAATGGAAATGTCACACGGTGATGCTCAGAGGCTAGTTTAATAGAAACTTTATTTGTGTTTTTAAATGTACAATTGTAAATCTCACTACGTATAGGCAATTTACAAATGATGCTTGAGATTGGCTTATTCAACACACACACACAAAAGAAAAATCAAAATTGCATCAAATCTGGGTTGTCCCAATTCCTATTTCTACAACAAAAGACGTAATATGTTGCTCTAATAGCTATATCTATCATTTTCTTGATTATGTAAAGTTGCTGCTTTTTGGCAATGCCTGTCATTCATCATGCCTAAGAACGTAGAGCATTCATCTGAGAAAACGCCAAGGGAGCTGACTTGGAGAGATTTACAAATTTCACACATCTGAAAGTTCTACTCATTTCCTTGATCAAGTTCCGATATTTTTCTTTTTTACGCACTGCATTGTCGTACAAGTTAGATTCGAAACCAACTGTTTATTCTAGAACATATAGGCACTTGGACTGGGTTAGGAAAAGAAGATCTGGACGATAATTTTCACCAGTTATTATTGAGGGATTTAGAAAACCAGTAACATCTGCATAGATTGAGGAGCTAACATTAATTACAGGTTGAAGGGACTTAGCAATGAAGTTAAGGATTGAGTCGTGTCTCCAAGTAAAGTGATCAAGGCATTGTTGACAACCAGCGACAACATGAAGGAGTGACTCAGGATTAAGGCAAAAGGAACAATCAGGACTTTGTGATAATCCCCATCTTACCAAATTCTTACGTGTAGGAAGAGAGTTGTTGATGTAGCGGATGGTAAAGTTGTAAATGTTCTTCGGCAGACTGGGCCACTGACCAAATAGAATTAAGAGATGACAACGAATACTTGATAACATTTGAGAAGAAGAAACCTTGAGATGTTAGGTGGTGTTGCAGTTTATCCCCTTGATTAGAACAGAAATCCTTAGGAACTTCCTTAGTGGATTTGTACACATCATATTGAATATAAGTGTAACAGCTTGACGATTTCCAGAGAGCTTTCAAGGAATCACTTGGGGACTCTTTTCATGAATTTCGGAGAACTGACTGACACTGAGTAAATTTGAAAGAGGGAGGACAAATATTAAGACCAAATTTATTGCTTTCTAGGAAAACATTGCTCAGTGTTCCAGATATCGGAATATCAAGCCATTTTCGGATGTAGCCATTCACTACAGAGTCGAGATGTTGCGAATAATAATAATAATAATAATAATAATAATAATAATAACCTTTATTTTAAAGAGGGTGACACCAATTACTTTGAAAGTATTCTCCCTAGTGGCCCTCTAAAACACCCACCCACCCCACCCCAGGGGGGGACATTCATCACACAGTAATCTTGTGTGTGTGCATATTCTCCATACTGTTCTCCCTAAATTGTTAGGGTGCTGATAGGAGAATTTGTTCAACAATCAACAGCTTCTTTAGTGATCATTACCTTTTAGCGATATCGTGAGGAGAAGAGAGACGCTAGTCACTCCTAATAATAATAATAATAATAACACCTTTATTTAGACACGATAATGTTTAAAGCTGAACAGCTTGTGGGGTCGTGTGTAAATGCAGATAAACTCTAAATGAAATGCAAATAAACTCTAAATTAAATTCAAATAAACTCTAAATTAAATGCAAATAAACTCTAAATTAAATGCAAATAAACTCTAAATTAAATGCAAATAAACTCTAAATTAAATGCAAATAAACTCTACATTAAATGCAAATAAACTCTACATTAAATGCAAATAAACTCTAAATTAAATGCAAATAAACTCTACATTAAATGCAAATAAACTCTACATTAAATGCAAATAAACTCTAACTTAAATGCAAATAGACTCTAAATTAAATGCAAATTAACTCTAAATTAAATGCAAATAAACTCTAAATTAAATGCAAACTCTGAATTAAATGCAGATAAACTCTAAATTAAATGCAAATAAACTCTTCATTAAATGCAAATAAACTCTAAATTAAATGCAAATAAACTCTAAATTAAATGCAAATAAACTCTAAATTAACTGCAAATAAACTCTAAATGAAATGAATTTGAGGAGAGGGGAAAACCAGAGTACCCGGAGAAAAACCTCCCGGAGCAGAGTAGAGAACCAACAAACTCAATCCACTTATGACGCCGGGTCTGGGAATCGAACCCGGGACACATTGTTGGAAGGTGAGCGCTGTCACCACTACGCCAGGTTTTAGTACGAGAGTAGGGTTCTTGATTCACTGAATTTTTTCAGGTCTGATTTTCACTATTGCTTAAATTGTGTTCTTTACTGCGAGGATCGTGCACAAATACGTTTCTATAACCGCAGTTCAGATATATGAATTTCATATATTCGTCGTGTTTAATTCCTTTTGAGAAGACACAAAAGGTGAAGCTCTTGATAAAGGAAGAAGTTTAAAATCGTTGTTAAAGCAGAATAGCTTAACTTCCGCCTTAACAAAAATATTATTCAGTATTGCTTTTGGTTAAATTACTTCCTTAAGTGGAAGTACGCTTTACGACTAAAACAAAAATATGTTCTCGTTTAGATCAACGCTGTAACCAGGTTCTCTGCACAACTTTCAACATTTTCTCTTTCAAATAATCTGTTGTTTTTGGGTAAAATTTCCAGTTTCCTTACTTTCATGCCTAAAGACTTTTCTTCTTTTTCCTTTTTTCCAATTCTAAATTGTTGTCATTGATTTTATAGATGATCAAAATTAAGGAAGAGTTGCCAGTGAATTAACCATACAGCATCTAATTTCTCCTTACAATATCACCCCTGAATCACACATAAAGGTCAGGAGAATAAAGGAAATGATTACCGACTAAAGAAAATCTTGATTGTTACAAAATTTCTCCTTGTCAGTACCTTAAGAAACATATAGAGCACAGTATGGAGAATATGCATGCGGATGTTAGGATGTGAAGGGTTAAGAATAAATTGTTAAATTTTTAACCACGTGACTTTGGGCTGTGGATACCCATCAGCCTTACATCGAAACGTGGCTGTATCAGTCTCGTTCACCACCATGGAGATGGGAGGTGCTACAATTGATGGGGCTGAGATAGCCCGACCAGGCTCTCCCTTAGCTCTTGGAGGGCCCATAGGTCCGGGAGGTCCCCGCACTCCTTGGGGGCCCGGGTTTCCTTTAGGGCCTCTATGACCAGGCCTCCCTCGCTTTAAGTGATTTAACTGACTGCATAAAAAAACAAAATGGAACTTGATTCAACTTCGACTTCTAGTGACCTTGATTCTAAATGGAGTTCACGACATCTACAACTCTTTTAAGCTCTAAAAATTGTAAGTTATGGCTTAGTTTCAGCCTCTGATAGCAAGCTATGAAATGGTTTGTAAAATCTCTTGCAGAAATTCAAACCCGCTTCAAACGCAACGTGCGAAACATAAACAAGAGTTTTGCGAATGACAGCGTCTCCATCGATAGTAAAGTGATGAGAAGAGACGTACGAATTGCTACGAACAGCTTGGCCTGCAAAGTGCAGTGCCCCAAAGGCATCAGGGGAAGGCGAGGGAGGCCTGGTCACAGAGGCCCTAAAGGAAACCCGGGGCCCCCAAGGAGTGCGGGGACCTCCCGGACCTATGGGCCCTCCAAGAGCTGAGGGAGATCTTGGTCGGGCTATCTCAGCCCCATCAATTGTAGCACCTCCCATCTCCATGGTGGTGAACGAGACTGATACAGCCACGTTTTGATGTAAGGCTGATGGGTATCCACAGCCCAAAGTCACGTGGTTAAAAAATAATTCCAGTCTTCCAGCGGACAAACGCGTTGTTGCATCGAGTGGCGAGCTTAACATTACAGACGTGACATCCGAAGACAACGGGGAGTATACATGTGTGGCTAGAAATATTTTTGGAGTGATGGCCTCATTGGCTACTTTATCAGTTCAAGGTGGGAAATATTTTTTTTTTCTAACAGCCATATAATTAATTGGAGATATAATATCCAGCATTCCAATAAAATCTAATAAATGAACAAGGAATAAAAGAGACAGGAAAATTCAGATGTTTCCTCTCAATGCTGCATTCAGAGAAAGGCCCTTTGATTGTTACGAAGTACTAAAACTATGATTTTATTTGTCAACGACACGAAAACATATTCTGTTCGAGCTAAGAGTATCTCCAACACAGAGGGAGTTTTAGCTATGGAAATAATTGTTCACTTATGGCCGATCTATTTCGAGCGGCTCCAAATAAAGGTAGAATTAAATAATTCGAACAATTACAAGACTGTCAACAAGAACTAGGATCGATCTCATGTTCCACTCCGCATATGAACCTCTTACTTACTTGTTTTTGTACAATTCGTTTTAATCATAGTTGGTGCATCGATCATTCAAAAACCTGTTGAAGAAGGGAGCAGAGTGAGTCTGGTCTGCCAAGCTGCTGGTCATCCGACACCAACGGTATCTTGGCGAAAAGCCGTCGGTAAGTTATCGAAGGGGAGGTCGAGAGTTCTGAAGGGAAAACTGGAAATAACCAACTTGACAAAGGCAGACGGTGGAGATTACATTTGCTCTGCAAAGAACATTCTAAACGAGGACTATACATTCGCACAAGTTACGGTAATGGAACAACTTAAATTAACTTCACCTCCTTTCATAAAACACACAGCAAACATGTCTGATGATGTATTACTGACTTGTTCAGCACAGGGAGCAGGAGAAATCATGTGGCAGCGGAAAGGTCAAATTCTTCCTTCAGGTCATATCCTTTATTCCAATGGCTCCCTTCTTCTTAAAAACGTTTTACCGAATGATGCAGGATCCTACACTTGCTGTGCGAGACATTTTCATCGCTCCGTTACAGCATGTACTGTGCTCGAAGTTCGAAAGCTAACCTGGAGCTCTTGCAGCGAAATAAAGAGGTACATTAGAGGAACCCTTTCAGGCACTTATACGATTGACCCTGATAGTGATGGAGGCGTGACACCCTTCAATGTGTACTGTGACATGAGTGACAAGGGTGGTGTTGGCGTGACGGTCATCAGTTACTACAGTGAGAGGAGAACTCACGTTGGCCCCAATTTATGTCAGCCCAAAGGATGTTATAGTAAAGACGTGCGTTACACTGGGGTGGGCACTGCTCAGCTGACAGCACTAACTAGAGCCTCACAAAACTGTGAACAATAATTTATCAAGTATGAATGCAATAATGACGTTGGGTTTCTTGATAAGGGCTATGCCTGGTGGGTGTCACGTGACGGAGCACGTGAACTACTGGGGAGGAGCTACAGGATATGACATGACGTGCGCATGCGGACTGACAAACTCGTGTTCTAATGGGCAGAAGTGTAATTGATACGAAGGGGGCGGTAGAGACGCCGGCAGGAGAAAGGACAGCGGAATATTAACAGATAAGTCTGTTCTCCCGGTAACAGAAATCAGAATCGGAGACGTAGATCAATCACATGAAGAAGCATTTCATACATTGGGTAAACTCAAGTGTTATGGTGTGGCGTGAGATCATACTGTCACATGACCACAAAGCTGGTGACAGAAATTATATACAGGTCAGGTGACTCCTCAAGGAACTAAAACAAAGAAACTTTTAACACTAGTGTAAAAAGAAAAAAAATAGAAAAGAAATTATCAAAATCCTATGTAATTTTGTTTAGGAATACTTTTTTATTTAACTTGTCTGGTACAGTAAAGTTCCTGTCAATTTAATGACTGATAATTATGAGGAGCGATTTGAAGAAAAACAACAGTCTCTTTAAGGTCTATGTAGCGTAACTTCCTTTTGACTAGGAGCAAATCAACATGTCTATAAACATTTAGATATTAACCAATGAAACACAAAAGTCAAATCTGAAGGTCATTTTTAATTTTTAACAAAATGGTGCAGTTTATAATTTCTGGGGCCAATTTGTTCTCGTTTTTCACTATTTTTGTACAAACAGAAGTTGGTGCAGTGATTTTAAGGTTTATAGGATTTCAATAATTACTTAACGTTCTTTGCCTCTTTCTCATCTCCAGACTGTCTGATTTTAGGACAGCAGAATGACGACTCAAAGCAGTCTTGCCGTAGTTACCAGGCAATGAAATGGAAAATGCCATTTCTTTATCGTTGACTTTCTTTCAGCTCTGTTGTAAGATGCCTTGGGTGGTGGGTGAGATCAATCCAGTGAACGTAGTTCCTATGCTCAAATGATGTATTATTCCTTTGCTAGGGATGCCCTACAATAAAGAGAATGTTGGTTAGTGGCGTTGAGATAGGAAGTATGATTTGACTGGGTATTGAATACGAGGAATAATCTATGGAAGAACATCCTTTACACAGCCCTCCATTTTCTCAGGTTTCCTTTGAGAGAGATCCTACTTAGTAATTACAAAGCCCTATAATATGCTAACTTGATGTACTGCAATTTGTCCTTTTGTGATGTAGTGCATGGAATAACACTCAGGAACAACTCTGTTGAATCTCCAGAGCTCTTACCTCTCTTATTGTCTAAATCCACTCCTACCCACCCCCCCTCCCTTTGTTCTGCGTGCTGAGTGGAATGATACAACACATTGAAATCAAACACCCAATGGGGGACTGAAGAGCACGTCTTCCGGTTAGCTTTTACCTTTTAGCTATGATAGCTAGGTTGATGTCTCTCCCTGATTCCGGGCCCAAACCTACAACAGGCCTCTTGAACAGCTAAACAACAGAATCCTTTTTAGACCACTTGCAAACTGTTTCGAATGTAATCCAACATACCTCTTTGCTGAAGAAGGTTTTGCCTGGCTTTTATGAAAGCCAAGATGTCGGCATCAGCTCTGGTATCACCAGTTAGCTTTACTGATCCTGAACTTGAACTTACATCACTTGTCGAACTGCGGAAAGTAAAAAGGATTGTAGCCAAATGAGACGTCATTTTGCAATGTTACGTTACGAAACAAAGGCAGAAATCAACTAAACCTATAAAGCAATGCAAAGATAACGTAACCACAAGGCATGGGCTCACAATAGCGGCTGCCCTGGGTTTGCCCAATCACTGAACCGCAAGACATCAATTCCGTGTAAATATTTCCCAAGAATAATAAAAAAGAAACGAAAATCAAGGGAGAAATTCATCCTGCATCTTCACAAGTAACTTGACCAAATATAACTGCAAGGAAAACCGTCAACTGTTGGTATTGTTTCTTTAGCTACAAGAGTATCGTTCTATGCATGTGAGATCACGTAAATGTAAGTTATTATATACAATTTACGATCAACGCCTATCAAGTGGCTCCATACCCTGATTTACTTCGTCTAACGTAGCCTATGCTCGACTCCTCCGCCGCTTGAAAAGTCGCTGCGGATGGATTCCAGCTACTGAGGCCACTGTCTGAGTTTGAGGGGTGATCTGGGGGCCGACTGACAGATGATGACACGGCTCCTATAGCCGCCAGCTGTGCCTCAGCTCGCAACTTGGAAACGAATTTCGCGGGTCTTGCATTGCGAGATGATTCATCTCCTCGGGGATTCGACGTGCCACCCGGATCTGGATCACGTCTTCGAGAAGCGGATGGAGGTCTGACGGGCGATATCGGAGGAGTCTTCCATGCTGCTCGGACTTCATCGGGTGGCTAATAGGTAAGGTTTTGGTTTGTAAATATAAATGGAGTTAGATAAACACAAATGATCTGTATATCACACACAAAGCAGCTGGAATGAGGTTCTTTCAAAAACCTCCACTCAGCACCCAAACATTCCAACGGAACCATAATGGTGTTTTGATATGGTTTGTACTGTAAACCGTAGCATCTTATTACAGCTCTAAATGAGAGGTGGTAGGGGCAGTTTTTGAGGTGTGTGGGTGTTTTAAAGATCAAAGCTCCATAATGTTTCAGGAAGTTAACAGTTAGGAGGGAAGAATCGCCGAATAGATCGATCTAAACAAAGTAGGAATTATAAATTAAAACAAACCTGGTTGAAAGCCGCTTGTTCTGCCCACCATATTTCGAAATCTTTCTGCATTTTGACTTTGGCTTTCTCCAGCAAATGTTGAAGATGCTCGATCTCAGTTTTCAGGGATCGAAGACGAGTGAAACTGTCCTTATATCTTAAGAGTTTAAAAAGGCAAACACAAATTCAGTCCAAGTAAGAGAAGGCTTGTATATTCTGTAACTGCCAAAAATCTTTCCTAATGCTGTTTATTTAAGTTCACGCGCTCAGCAGATCTTTACTAGCTATTTTTAATCCAACGTGCAAGTTTTACAAGGATATTCTGTCACCAGTTTTCAGCGAGACACTTCACACGAAATTTTGAATTCAATAGGTTTACAGGGGTCACTAGCAAGACTCAAACTCAATGAAGAACGTAAGGCTTTGGGATACCAACTAATTCCACGCCATTTCCTTACTTCGCTTTCTCTTCCTCAATGGCTTGCCTCAGGCTCTTTTCTGCAGGATCCACATCTTCCATTCCTTCAGTACCGTTAACAAACCCTTTTAGTGAACAAAAAAATAGCTTTTTCAGATCATTGACGCAAAGGCTTTTGAAGAAGAGAGTCAGACACCTGTGGTGTGCCTATGAACACTCGTAGGTCTTGGAAAATACATCAACTGAGACAATACCTTGCATCGATCGGCGAACTCTTTGTTGCTCGATTTGCGTTTTGATAGAATCTGAAATTAAGAAGTAAAGTCGCTCTAAAGATAACCACTCGCTAAAAGAGCTCATAAGTCACACAAACAAGGTAGACGACTGCGTGACATATGGATGAACAGTGATAGTCGATCTACTTACTGATCTTTTGTCGTGAAGAATTCACTTGCTCTCCAAGTCTTTTGGCCTCTGCGTACCTAATAAAATAGACGCATTCAAAGGTCCCTATTTCTTGTGTTCATCCTGACTGTGTAGTCGCCGAAATGATCAGGTGCAAGATTCTCCACAGCTGTCTACTAAAAAACTTTAGAGACGTTAAGGGAGAAAACAGTAAAGATCAGTCTAAGACACAAACCTTTGCTTGAGTGTTTGTTTATTTTCCTCTATCGTGCCGTTGTAAGGATAGTCTCGGCGGAACGTTTCAAAAGCTTCTTTTCGCCCAACAGACATCTCATCTAGTATGTAGGACAAAATATTACAGTAAATGAAACAGCCTTCGCCGTTTTGGCCGAGGAAAAGGAGTCTGCGGGAAACGTACTCTTAAGAGTGTTAGGGATAAAGGGGTAGAATGCAGGAGAGGATGACACGGTTGCCACTCATTAGAACCCAAAAATTCCTTTAGTTTTCCCTGACTTTTCACTGACCTCAAAACCTTTTTCACTGACCTTGAATTAAATTAATTATCAAACAAGCCAAATCCACTTTTACATTTCTTCATCGCCTTTAAGCTTTCTATCCGATTTGCTACACTCGATCGACTACTTCACAAACCTTTGTGGAACCCTCAAAACAAAATTCCCTGACTTTTCACTGACTTTGACGAGAACTAAGATTTTCCCTGACTTTTTGCAAAATTCCCTGACTTTTCCCTGACCTTGAAACATTTTTGTTTTTCCCTGACTCTTCCATGACCGTGGCAACCCTGGATGACTAATGCGCAGAAAACATTTACACATCGGAAATCTCAAACTTGTCAGGCGCAAAGAATAGTTTTTCTATCAAACCTATAACAGCAGATGCTTTGAAACCCGGCTTCACTACGATACCTGTACTTTCAGTAATTTGTAGTTTTGCCTCAATTTTGAAGGCCGTGTGTTTAAGGGTTCACTTTCTGTTTTGTTTCAAATGAGTTGCTTATCTATAGTAGTGCGGATCAGTGCACATGCTTGATAGGCCGGGGTTAACTCAATGTTGAATCAGGACTCATTGCAACATAAACGAAGCTTTAGTTGTTTCACCCACCAAGTCTCCTTCTGTAAGCAGATGGAGGTCTGTGATTGGTTGAATCATCAACAGGTGCTTGAGGATGCTGACGATTCTAAAAGGAACCGAGAATAAAAACACGCAGTAACTACCCGCGGAAATCGCACCCGCAAACTCGCGAGGCAGTGCCGCGTTTTCCTCATTTTCTCCCCAGTGCCCATCGAGTTCTAATTGTTCCAAGAAAAGCAGAGGATTGCTACTAATCTACAACAACGACAGACGCTGACTGGAAAGTAACCTACAATGGTTGAAATCCAAACAAGTTTCTGGTGGAACGAAACACGGGATAAACCTTGGATTTCGTTCAGAGGAATAGTAATCGAGAAAAGTGCGCAATAGGGCCTTAACTCAGACCTTCGGAAACTCAGGAACCATCTCATAAAAGAGAAACCTTACAGTTCTCTGTAAAGCTACCCGACGGTTTTGATTGGTCGACGGTGGATGAACTTTTGACAAGAAATACCTCCTTCACGGCCGTCTCATCATGTTCGTCTACAAGCAGAGTCCTCTAATTAACAAGTTTGAATACTTCGACTAAAATCATACGCTAATATGCGACCACTCAACAATTTTTAATGGCTAGGTAGAAAAGAATTATTCAAATGCACCTCAATGGTATCAGACGACGGCCTGTCTCTCACACGTGTTCTGCTCGCTGCTCTCATATTCGACAATTCATTCTCTGAGTCGTCACTTTGCGGCTGACTAGCGCTCCGCCTGATCCCATCCGGTGCCGCGCTTGTACCGTCCAAGAGTCGGCCCCCTCCTTGCTTCTCTAACTCAGCCGTGCGCTTCTTCTCCTTCTTCAGCATGCCCACTAAGATATCTGAACAGTAGTTAAGTCAACATCTCTTTTTAAATCAGAGTGACATATAACACCAAAAGGAGACCGTCAAAAGTTATTAAGAAAATAAACTTGCCACATAAATGTATTAACTAAAAAAGGCAACTTGACTATAACATTGTGCACGACGAATGGCGACCATGAAAGTCTCGGCGAGTTGAGAATGTGTTTTCTGTAAAGCAGTTCCTTTTGCAAACTACTACGTAGAAAGATTTCCAGCCATTTAACTTAACACTATATCTATTGTAGGGGAATAATGAACACAATCTAATCAAAACACTACCCTCCCCTCCCCAACAATAATCCTGCAGTTGACTTTGTGAGAACTTTTAGGCACTATCACTAGAAGAACAACTTTGCACTTCTTTCAAAAAGGGGAAGTTAATGCAAAAATAAGTGTGAACAGAGAGGTGGCGATTTTAGTCGGACGGTTTGAGTTTTTCCGGCCAGCAAAAGTCAACTTTTGTCGCACTTATCTACAACGGGATTGAATTCGTCATCGCGCTAGTTGTCGAATCCGGAACCCAATTAAAAAAAAAAACACACACACACACACACACACACACACAAACAAATTGTCACGTTGAGAAGAAAAATACAGTGTACAACATCACGTAGGGAACACTAAAAACTGAACGTCAAGAGATGAAAGAAAGACAATTTTAGCGCTTTCTCTATGATATAATGGTATGATTAGCTGTTTCTACTTAAAGTAGAAAAAAATCGCACGTTAGAGCAATGTTTGACATCAAGGCTGAAGATTTGAGAATTTGGGACACACGTCAAACCAAAAGTTGCAATACGTCAGAACCAAAATGTCAGTCACAGTCTGCATTAATTTCGTTTTTGCTTTTGTTGTTGTTTTTTTTATATTAAAGCGCTTCTCTAAAATTTTACATTGCCTCGACGCGGACGCACCAAAATCACAAGACAAAAACAACTACTGAAGCATCGAAGCTATAAATCCACGTTGTTATTGTTACACTGTTCAAGAACTGTAACTAAATCCAGTACTACTCTTTACAACGCTACTTGTATCACCAGATGGGTAGCTACTCAATCGTGGAAATGACTTGTAAATTCAGTACCGGGTGATTAGCTGGTACCAGCATATTTACTGCCAGAGCATTTTCATCCCAAGGCCCTCGTCAGAATCTTTATGCTTTAGTGGTTCATGTAACCTTTGGTTTGTTTGTTTGTTTGAACATCTCCGAGAGTAATTGGTCAAAACGTAACACCTCAACCAATCAGATGCTGAAGTAAAATCAACCGCAACTTCAACTCGCTTTTACTCGTGCATGTCACCAGTCACCTGTATTCCCTATGAGTTTTCATTGGTTTCTTGTAAATTAAACTTCCTTCTGATTGGCCGTTATGTTAACTTTAGACTTGGTTCAAAACAACTTGTTCAAAAAGTAATTTATACGCTCCACTAAATATCGTGCTTTGAGTGAGGACCGAGCTATCAAAAGTGAGAGAATGTGTTGAGTTTACGATGCAATCAAGTTAAAGTAGTTTAAACGCTGAATTATCACCGAAAGAGAAACACATTGTCAAGCAAACAGATACAGGAAACAAGAGATCAACTGAAAAATAGCTCACGATGCGCTAGAAGAGAAGAGAAAGAAATATACACTTTCAGTTTGGCGTTTCGATCTCTCACCAATAGGGAAAAGCCCTATCGTTTCCCCATGAGCACCCTTTCCATCTAGATTTAACAACATATCTTGTCAACTTTCTTCGACTGAAATCGTTCAATAAAATCGAGAACACCACCTAAATTAAACGCAGCTATCTCATATTAAATAATTTATTGTCAGGGCTTCCTAGTTTTCAAAAGGCACCTGTCATGGTTGACACCTTGGAGTGGAATATCGTATGCTTTGCTACGTTTATATATGTCTGGGCACTTGGTTTTGTTCAAATACACTTGGTTAAATCTCCCTCAAGAGAGCGTCTCGGGGTGAAAGTCGTGCAACCAATACCAAGCTAAATTTAAACACAACGACCAACCAGAATAGAGGCAAACGCCACAAGCAGCCAATGGAAACTCAAGCAAACTGCTCCAAGCGCGCGAAAACGCGGGCGACCAAGTCGGCGCGTGAGGTCACACACTTGTTGTTTACATTAGGTTCTCACTAGCTCCCTGTAACATTTTCCCGCCTTTTTATTCCGATCGCGATGAGTCAAACTGGTCATTTTGACTTCGCTGCTCTTAAAAACACAACCACCAGACCAGTACCAGATATTATTCTTGATCAGCACCGTTACCTTTAAGTTTAAGGTGTATAACTTTAAGTTAGAGATGTTTTAATTGAACTTTTTTTCGCGGGCTCATGAATATTTCAATAGATACACTTTATCATTTTCTTTTTAATTTTAAAATAATAGTTTTCTTACAAATTGTTATGTTCATTTATTCGCCTTTCTTAATGAAGTTCCTTGAGTCGTGTTACCTTTTGCAAACTCTTGTTGAATTCACCAGAAAATACACTTATTTTTGAGTTGCATTTTTGTTTATAGAAAAGAAACTTTTCAGCAGCCACGAAATCCGACACAATCACGTTTTATCTACAATTCAAAACCGCCTCAATACAGGTTTGTTCAATTCTCTCTCGTGGCAATAATTTAGGGCGAACAGTGATTTAAGCGGATGAAAACCTGTCGTACTGACATTAAATCTTTTAAAGTGTTTCATTTTTGGGTATGCTTTAGAATAGAAAGGCTCTCCTGCGAATAAGGCTTCAATTCTAAGGACTGGTTTGCCTCGCTCTTTGTAAAATTGCTCTCTGTAAAGACTGTGGAGCCACGCACTCTCAATGACTTTGCAGCAGTTGTTGACTCCTAAACCGGATTCCAGTGCGCTCACGTCCTCTTTTGAAAGCAATGAACAATACCAAAGGTTGCACAAAGTAGACAATCTCGAAACAGATACCGCGTTACCATAAACTTTTACTCCGTTTACATAGAAGTCGTTCTCCTTCTACTCCCGCCACCTTGTTGGGTTTCAATCACAGCTATAACTTTCTTTTTCTCTTGTTCAGCTCGATTCAATTCCATCACAGCTTCGATATAATCCTCCTCAGCTTGTAATCTTTGTTTCTCGGCGTCCCTAAGCCTATCGTGAGAAGTGGAACAGCGCTCTAACGCTGTTTTGTAACCTGTCATCACTTGTTTTCGAGCGATATCCAACAGCCGCATCTGATGCCGTTCCGAGTCAAACACGACATGACTTTCCAACAATTTGATAATATGCTTGTGAACATGCAAGTTATTTGTCATTCCAGCCTCGATAGCCACTCGTGAACGCCTGTGAATCTGCTTCAGTTCTTTCAGCGTAAAATTCTCCACATCGGCCGACAATTTTCCGAGTGTGAGAGTCGCCTCTCGATCCATCTGTCCGATAAGCGCATCTTCTTCCTCGTGCGTGTTCGTGAGGCATGGGCAGTGCTCTTCCCCAGTCAACTCTAAACTCTCATCTAGTTCATCCAGTTTAAACAGGTTTGTGAATCTCTCCACAGTCGCGCTTGCGAACAACGCGACGCGGCTAGTCAGGCCAGTAGTTTCCCAGTTCAGCCTTAGAGACACAGGTTTTTAATAGTTAGTTTTAGCAACAATACATGCTGTTTACTTGAGGTGCTAGTTGACCGCTGTATTACCGAAGATCTGCAAATACTGGCTTTAACGTAAGAATTCATAAGCAACGCAGCCCTTTTACGATCCTGCAACTTTTTCAGTACCTCGGCCACAGGTTTAAATTTATTTAAAGAATTCGATCAAGAGCATAGCACTTTACTGATGTCGCTACGGAGCAAGGAACCATTTGAATTAGTTGATTAGAAGTTTATTGTCTATTGTTACACTTCACCTAACATTAAAACAAAACTTGTGCTTAATAATTATGAATTGCAGTGCGTAAAGTTTATCGCTTTCGGAGATCGTAAGTAAACAGAAAGTTATGCGGTTATCACAAGTTAAAATAAAGCAGAATTCTAGACTTTTCTTACGCGTTTAAGCTTTCTCTAAAACATTCAATATCATCAACGTTCAGTTACCGTATATATTCATCGTTTGCATCGCTCTGTGCACTTTACGTAACAATAATTACTAAGTATGTTTAACAATAATCACTAATTCTATTTATTCTAATCGCTCTTTTCCTTGACCATGTACCCAGGGTAAAATTTGTTTGATAACCCAAGGGAGCCTATGCACATTTCCCAACTGATGAACAGAAAATCAAAGGGTAAGGCAAGACATATTTTGTTCTCATCGATAACAGTATGCAACATTGAACGTTTTTCCGCTATGAAAAACCAAAAAACTGCAGAAAATCACCAAGTACAATCTTAAAACTATACAACATTAGATAAATTATGTCTTCACGGTTTACTCGTAAACATGCTCTTCTATCTTATCGAACTAATATTTTGTGATAACTCTAAATTAAGAGTAATTTTGCGCGTGGCAGAAAGAGCCAAACTCAAACAAAACATCATAGAGCATTCCTCTAGGAGCCTAACAAGACATAGCCGCGTGTAAGCCAGTTCATACAGCCACAACATAACCAGCTGTTATACCAATACCTCTTTTCAAACCGATGATAAAGGATATTGATCTCATTATCTCGCTGTCGAATGAGCTCCTTAAGTTTGTTCACTTCAGTATGGTTGCCTAAGTAACTGCTATCGAAGACGCCATCGATTGCTGGAGTCCTAAGAGTAAAAAAACGAAAGACAAAGAAAACAAAATCCTTCTCACTAAAGTTTAGTGAGAAAGATTATGCTGAACATAATCATACCACCAAAGCCTTCCTGATTTCTACATCAAAAAGCGACTTGGAGAGTTGACTAGCACTTGAGCCACCGACGGCTCGTCTAAATACCAGTTTACTCCAGTCGAGAGCACTGATCGGGAGAACATTATATAGCGTATTCAGGAATGCAATAGGCCATTTCCGAATTACCTTTGGCCTCTATTTAAAAACGAGGCTTGGTGATCAACCATTCGTTCCAAAATGAGTTTAATTTGCATGTGACTGAAAACTTATAATCATATGAAAGAACTAATGAGCACCAGCACTCGTTTTGAAAAAGAGGCCAATGGTAAATCAGAAATGGGCTATTATTAAGAAACCCAAAACACATTGAGAGGAGCTTACCTTTGTAGGGGAGGAGACGGGTTCTTCTTGCTCTTCTCCAATACGTGACTCTACGAGAAGTGCATAAAATAAAAAATATTGTGAACGGCAGTCGGTACAAAGGAACCTCCATAATCATGCTACTTCGTTTAACCAAACACTTTTGATACACCAGTCCAATGGTCCACAAGAGTCCCAACTGCAAACGGGGTATATATATTTGCTAAACATTGACTGGACTGAGCTCATAGGACCCTCTGATGACTTACTTTGAGTAGCTGGAAGCAGTAGTTGATCTTTCTCATGTCAGCTCCAACACTGAGGAATGATTCTGGATCAGAATCCTCGATGTAACTCTTCACCATTCTGCGCAGTCTAAAGGGAAACCAATTTACTAGCTTCATCATATCGCTACCACTTTAAACGTAAATAAACGTTGATGATGATTTGAGAACAAAAATACAATCAGTACCTATCCAGTTCATCTTCCGTTAGCTCGCCAGTATATTCTTGTCCCGTGGACATCGCAAGTTCATCTTTTAGTCTCTGCACTTCCGCCTTGAGTTGTGCAATCAGCTTAAAGTATGATGACAAAGCAAAGAGTACTAAGGTCTATATAGAGCACTTTTAGCAGAATGACTTAATTCGTCAGTCCCAACCGAAGTATTCACAACTGGAAAAGAAACAAGGCAACTCAAAGCTCATCAATCAAGCACACTGAGGACAGCGTGATAAACCAATATCGATAAGTTTTTGCAACTGATTGGTTGAAAGGAAAGTGGAAGGTTTTTGGACAAAATTACAAGGCGTAGTGAGCTAAAACCAACTGATTACAAATTTTTATATAATTCTCGTTCTTAAAGTAAGACATTGTCTTATTTCAAGTACGTTCGCCTATTATACCTCTTTGAAACCTCAGAAAATGATATGGACCTGGTTCAAGTCGAAGTTCGTCGCAAAGAAGTCGCACCGATACAAATTTCGTTCAATTAAGTGAGTCACTATCCTCCTCCATTAACAATGCAGTGATTTCACTGACCAGTTTAGGATCAATCTCCTCGTTGAGAAGCACATCATTCTTGATCATGGCCACTCGCTGAGCAAATCTACAAGTTGAAATGGATTCCTGGGGAGCACTAACGAAGTAATCTTAATTCATTTTCATATCTACACTGCAGTTGAATTCAGCATTAATCAATGAAACAGACAAGCCGTTCAAACAAAGCTCTTTGAGAAGTCTTTAGGTAGAAAAAGATGTTATCAGTGCTCGGAATTAATATGACAGTCAGCTAAAACAAATCAATAGACAACGAATGGCTCCATTATTTCCTCGGTAGTTCGTAATGCACCAATGTGTGCATCCCAACAATCGCAATTCGACGCAATTGCCGATATCACGTCGTGCTCTTGTCGAGCTCTCGTCGTGTTCTCGTTAAGTATTCGTGGAGCGCTCATCGTGCACTCGTCGCGCTCTAAGCTCGCTCAAACTTCCCCCTTCTCTCAAATCTTTTGAATGCCGACAGCGCCAGTTAGCATTGGTGCATTGTTACTGTCTTGAATTAAGTGACACAAATTATGATGTTTTCCTCTTGTTTCGTTTCTCAGCGACACAACATTGGCGCTGCAATGAAACAATGCTATAGTACTTTCCAGATAACAGATTTTTAAGGACGACGATGATAATAGTGCAACTTACATCTAAGTTTTTCCTATCAAGGGAGCAAGTTGCTATCATGGACGTCATACAGTTCCCTCCAAGACTAAAATAGAAACAAAAATAAACATTTAAGCTCTAAGATTGACCTAAAAATATCATGACAATTAAATGATACGTATGATGCACGATCCTCGCAGTAGATAGCTCTAGTTATGCAATACCGAAAATGAGACCTGAAAAAAATCAGGCCCGTACGGGACTCGAACCACTGACCTCTGCGATACTAGTGCAGCGCTCTACCAATTGAGCTAACAAGCCAACTGGGAGCAGGCCGTTAAGTTGATTCGTAATAAACCCGTGAAAGTGATAAATCAGATACAATGAAATATATGAAGTTCATATATTTTGAACTGCGGTATTAGATACGTATGATGCACGATCCTCGCAGTAGATAGCGCTATTTAAGCAATAGCGAAAATCAGACCTGAAAAAAATCAGGCCTGTACGGGATTCGAACCACTGACCTCTGCGATACTAGTGCAGCGCTCTACCAATTGAGCTAACAAGCCAACTGGGAGCAGGCCGTTAAGTTGATTCGTAATAAACCCGTGAAAGTGATAAATCAGATACAATGAAATATATGAAGTTCATATATTTTGAACTGCGGTATTAGATACGTATGATGCACGATCCTCGCAGTANACAGGTTGTCGAAACGTCAGTCACTACCACCGACAACAGTCCTTCTCAGGACTACACTCACTCGGACGATCAGACTACACCTTCACATATTATTATTATTGGAAAAAAAAAACCAATAAGCGTGGCGAACGTTCGTTCGATCGATCGCTTGTTTGTTTCATCCTTTCTGTATTCGCCATTAATTCCAACATTCACATCTTTTCAAAAATCTGTGGTAAATTCACCTGTTCAAGGTAGTGAAGCGACAAATTGATATACTTGGCTTCTGTTAGCAGGGTTCCCCCGACATTTGTCTTGCCAACTCTCTCAGACCTGTACGTAAAAGACAATAGACACATAAATAAACAAATGAACAGGGGATCGCCTGCTCCTTAAAATGTTTCAGAGCTACAGCTACAATAACATTTCATATCGTCCGTTTACCCTGCAAGGTCAACCAAGTGCAGCTTAGCTCGTCTGATGGTCGCTGACTCAGGGTCACGGGTGGAGATGTGGATCGTGAAAATACAATGTGATCTGGTGGACGCTTGATTCATGGGTGTCTGCGGATGGAAAGCAAGGATTCAAAGGTTACGTTGAAAACAAACTTTAAATAACCAAAAATGGTCAGATGAAAAGGTTGTAAATGGTAAAATCAGGCAATGCCGAAGCTTTCATTCAGTGATAATGGCAGGAAGTTTGTAAAGAGAGACGACTTAATGACTCAACCGTAATACTGGGTAGTAACGGGGTATACCACATAAGCGATAAAGTGTCTAAAAAAAGGCGCGGAATCAGAGGTCACAGCCGTGGGATTTGGAATGATATGATTGAGGAAAAGGACAAACAGTATTTTTTTTTTTAAAGAATCGACTATCTGACTGAGAAGATGATCCGAGAATATGAAGATTCTTGTGCACGTTCTCGATTGAAACAACTAGAGAATCTATAAAATGGGACAATACAGTGTGCAGAACAGTGTATGTTCTAATGAGAATACAGATAAACTCCCTTACGACACGCTTGTGAGAGCAAAAATATAATCTGAAGGCGATAATGCGACGCGACCACAAAGGCCATATGGGGAGTCCGTGCCCGCGCATCATTTTCACGCTATCTGACAGTTTAAATGAAAACACTAACTTTTCCTCTGTGGCACCTTCAGAACACTGCCTCAGAGTGCAAAGACTCACCTCAGCTATCATCCTATTTGTGTCCCCAAGAAACAATAGATTGAGAGCTAAAAAAAGGTAAAGCTATTATTAGTCATTACAGCTAAAACACAGACACGCGCAAGGCAGTTTACTTAGAACTACATGTATACGGAGAGTCACGAAATTCTTCAACCCCGCTGCCCATCTGCGGTGCTTTAGGCACTAACTTAATTGAGCGTCTTTATCCACCTATACATGAAGGTCTGTGATACAGTGTACACACTGTCATTGTTTTGGAAATATCAGTCATATCAGTTTACAAGAAGCTTGCTACTTGAGGGTGTACACTGCACCTAAACACTTTATCTCACCTTCCTCTTCATTGCTTGCTTGGTGTAAGGAAAGATTCTTGAGATGGACATTATTGTCGCTGTCTTCAAATAAGTTCACTTTGCTGTAGAGAAGAGGAAAGCCTGCCAGTCAACCTGGTTCACTCCAAGAAATGATCAAAAATGAATTTTTTGCAATATCAAAAAATTCCCAAGCAGAAAGATGATAAGAATTTAGAAAATATTAACTGAGGGAATTTGTTTCATTTGATACCAAATTCTCATTATTAAGGCAAAAATCAAAAGATTATTTGCCTACTAAGCAAAAAATAGGACTCGGTCCTTTAAGAGTAATTTGACATCATAATCTTTTTAATAATGCTGGAAAGAGATTAGAAACATGAATCTCAGGCCTTTAAGCTTGTTTATAATTTAAATCTTAATTAGAATGTTAGTAATTTTAGCATAGAAGAGCCAATTCATTTTTGGAATGCTAATAAACCTTTATTATTATTATTATTATTATTATTATTATTATTATTGTTATTATTATTATTATCATTATTATTAATATATCAAAAGAGAAAAAACAACATTTTTTCAGTTTATTCACCCTAAAAGAACTATTAATGGCAAGTGACATTGCCTTATTTTTTTTTACCTATGTCCAGAAATGCAAAAAATGTTCATGGATTTGATGATTCCGGGGAATCTTAATCAAATTTGCCAAAGCGAAATCAGCTTGATGGATTCAACATTTAAAAAGTTGCCAAAACTCTGAAAACCATTCAGCCATCAGCCAGCCATTACAAATGGCCCAGGACTTTGCATACATTGTATATTTTGAAATAATACACTCTCACTCACGGTAAATCTTCCAGCCTGCAAGCCTCATGTTTGGGGTCCAAAAGATCATACCCACTTTCATTGTAGATCTCAAGATAAGAAATATGGGCAGTGAAGACTGTGCCTGGATGCTGGTGACAAAATTTAGAAAAATGCCTGTTAGTACATGATGGATAGTTTGCATTGTCAGTAGTACACAACATGACAATTCTGAATTCTAATGGACCAAAAAAGCAGCATGTGCATCAAATTCCAGGTAGAATATAAAAAGTTTGCATACATATGATGCACGATCCACGCAGTAGATAGTGCTATTTAAGCAATAGCGAAAATCAGACCTGAAAAAAATCAGGCCTGTACGGGATTCGAACCACTGACCTCTGCGATACTAGTGCAGCGCTCTACTAATTGAGCTAACAAGCCAACTGGGAGCAGGCCGTTAAGTTGATTCGTAATAAACCCGTGAAAGTGATAAATCAGATACAATGAAATATATGAAGTTTATATATTTTGAACTGCGGTATTAGATATATATGATGCACGATCCACGCCGTAGATAGCGCTATTTAAGTAATAGCGAAACCAGACCTGAAAAAAATCAGGCCTGTACGGGATTCGAACCACTGACCTCTGCGATACTAGTGCAGCGCTCTACTAATTGAGTTAACAAGCCAACTGGGAGCAGGCCGTGGAGTTGATTCGTATTAAACCAGTGAAAGTGATAAATCAGATACAATGAAATATGTGAAGTTCATATATTTTGAACTGCAGTATTAGATACATATGATGCACGATCCGGATTTTTTTCAGGTCTGATTTATGCTATTGCTTAAATAACGCTATCTACTGCGTGGATCGTGCATCATATGTATCTAATACCGCAGTTCAAAATATATGAACTTCATATATTTCATTGTATCTGAAAAAGTTTGTATAGTAGTTTATTGCAGTAGTTTATTTAAAATTCAAAGAAATTTGAAAGGATAGAGAGGAATTTGCCATAAAGAATTATCAATAAAATAATGGTAACATTACCAAACAACAAACAAAGTTACCGACCTTCTCGAAATACTCAAAGATGTAAGAAAGGGACCTTGGAATTAATCCTCTATCAACATAGCGCTCAGCACCTCCTGTGATTGTAAATGTCTTACCAGATCCTGTCTACAGGCACAAAATAGTAATAATAATAATAATAATAATAATAATAAAAACCTTTATTTTAAGAGGGTGACATCAATTACTTTTGAAAGTATTCTCCCTAGTGGCCCTTTAAAACACCCACCCATATCACCCCAGGGGAGGACATCCATCACACAGTAATCTTGTGTGTGGGAAATTAACGTCTCCTACCCCCAACCCTGCAGGAGACGGGACCTCCATTTATTCGTTCTTATCCGAGAAGACTACAATTATCTAACCACTTCTTGATGTCATAGAAAGGTAGCAAATTCTTCTCAATTATTTTAAGACCCTGAGTGTTGGTCCGGCCAGGGCTCAAACCCTCGACCTCCCACACAACAGTTGAGCACTCTATCAATTGAGCTAACCATTAGATTGATTTAATATTCAGCACACTGTAAAAGCACATCCAAACATTGTAGATATCCAGAAAACTTAAGGAAAACAACTTGATTATTATTATAATATTAGTTTGAAATCACATACTTTGTAAATAGTACACGCCAGACTTTTAATTTGAAAATAAGTTAAGTGGCTAGTCTAGAAATAAACTCTAAGGGTTAGTACAGCAAAGATACAATGTGCTTGTAATTTTTGAGGGTCTGTGTACCTGACCATATGCAAAGATTGTTCCATTGTAACCAGTCAAGACACTGAAAGAGAAAAGTCAACACCATCTTAGCAGAAATAAGACATTTACAGATGGCTCTAACTTACAAACAGCTTGTAGTTGTAAACTGACTTAACAATATTCTTGATAATCCATTTTTATTAGCAAAAGAACATAATTAATTTCAGCCTGTATGACTGTAGTTTTCTCTGTCTCTGTAAAAATGGACATTCTGCTGTGTTATCCAGCATAAGCAAGTTTAAGACTGGGATATTCTTTCATCAAATGTACACCTACTTGTCTATAACTCCTTGCGCAACTTCTTCAAAAACCTCATCTTGCTTGCAGTCTTGATCAAAGACTTTATTGAATCTTTTGTTTTTTTTTTTGACAGAAACAAAAGTTTAATAAATCATATTAGAAACTTAAATACCAACAATATCGAATATTGTAGAGCAATACAAATAATAAGCTCAACTATGACGAGATCTTTGAAACTATGAAAAATAATGTCAAATAATATACTGCAATTTTTGTTTTACCATTTTAAAAAGCCAAAGTTCTCAATTTATTTCAAAGCAGTTGATCATGACCCCATAAAACTTATATCTAAGTGATACAAAGGCTGCTGAAAAATTGTCTCCACGCAGTGAGAAAACAAAGACCAGAAAGGCAATTGAGACTATAAAAGGTATGAAGTTGGAGACTCACTTCAAACTTGAGAATATATATTCTCTCATTGCCTTGGTTGCCTTTCTTATCTTTGTTTTCTAACTGACTTAAAACCCTTTTCTGTCCAGCTGTGCCGTAAGGCTCTCACTTATACAAATCCCTAAAACTCTCACGTGCTTAAACCGAAAATAAATGTTTTCTTTTTTTAATTCAGTTACTCCTGTCAAAGATTTGCTGCAATATACTTGCCTGTGTGAAGCTGTTTGTGGAAAATGGATACTGACAAAAAGCATTAAGTGACTTGACCCCAAAAGAGACTTTAAAACACAATTTTGGGTGTCCCTATCTTGGACCTCCTTTCTCAAGCAGCACTGTATCAAATTGAGTTTTGTTTGTTTTAAATATCACCAACTCAACAGGTAGATCAGCCACCAATTCCTTAAATTAATTAATCACAAACCTAAATTTATAAACTTCTCTCTTGTTGTTTATGTAGCCATCAGCTAGGTCTTTAGGAACAGTGAAGGAAATAGAAGAATTTCCACTCTCATCTTCAAAAATTTCATAAAGCTAAAGAGCAGAAAAATTATTTTTAGTCCTAGAAAAAGAATTAATATCTCAAAGACATCAGCGACATGCCAGGTGACGTCTGCTGGTTAAATTTCACTTCAGTGGGTAAGCGGGAAATAATCCATTAAAGTCAAAGAAAAACCAGATGTTTTGGATCCAAAAAAATGTTGTTTAAACCACATTAGTCAAGAACCAAATAAACTAATTTAAATAATTCAACAAAATTCAGAGAAAAACGATTCTGTAAAAGTACGTAAACTACTTTAAACACAAATTGTGATAGTTTCAAAGTTAGAGTTGTAATTTTTAACCCTTCGCGAATGGATTGGACATTAAAAGTTTCTCAACAATTATTCATTTATGTATAAATAGTAATAGATCTGTTTTTGAAAAGCTGGAGGTAAGCTTATAATTAGTATCGTAGCAAAAAACTATCTGCGTACAACGGTTTTTCAACCTGTTGTAAATTTTACTTTCTAATTTAGAACTATTTCAGATTTCCTCCCAAATTACCTGAACGATTTTAACCCTTTCTCATTTTTCATTACAGGTTTATCGAATGATTATCTTTTTACTGGAAACAAAATATCAAATCTTGTTTAAAATAGATCTACATACAACTGACCGCCAGTAGTCATGATAATTTATTATCAGCACAAGCTAATTAAGTTACCCCTGTTTTTTGCTTTGTCGGCTTTGCTCTGGCATAAATCTGGATTCCTTGCTTCACCATCCTTCATGACGATATGAAGTGACTTATATACTCACAGGAGTGTCAAATGCACTGTGTTATCCAAGTCAATTTGTAATCTCTCTCTCGTTGCCTTGGTTGTCGAGGAAAATGAGAAAGTTTATAAGAGGCGAATCACAAAGGATTGGGAACGAAAGTTATAAATATGTCATGTATGAGCTAACGTGGTGTAGCATACTCTTGAATTGGGTACCGCTGCTTTTAAAATTGTTGTCGCAAGAAGTGCTTGAGACGCAATGATGTCACGCAACGAGACCGCAATGATTCCCACAAACTGGAAGGGTAGTTTGGAAAACATAGAATGCCGGAATTCTGAACCGAACCAGAATACTCGGAATACCAGGATTACCCGGAATTCCTGGAATGACCGAAAAATAATAAATTTTAAAAAAGATAAAAGCAAATTAATAAATAAATAAGAATAATATATTATATATACAGGGCTAAAAGATTACGAAAAAATTATTAAAATGTTTAAACCAAACGTTTTCGGCTGTTTGCCATCATGATAGCAAACAGCCGAAACCTTTGGTTTAAACGTTTCAATAATTTTTTTCTTAATATTTTAGCCTTGTATATATAATATCTTTTATTAAGCGACCATTAAGGACAAATAAGAACTAATAAAATAACAAATAAGAACAATAAACAAGAATTCACAAATAAGAAATAAGAAATTCACAAACAACTTAATTAAATAATTTAATACGAAATTTTTCTCTGAGGGTTCCCCCCCCCAAAAAAAAAACACACTTACCGGTGCTGTTTATGGAGATGCACGTATTAGAAGTAAAAAAAAGTCTGCGTCAGGCCAGTAGCCCATACAGCCTAAGCGATGAAATATTTCTACTCTCCCATCCCCCTGGATGGGATGCTAATCCATCACATGGTTTCTCCTCGTTTTAAATTCGCCACCACCCATTTACACGCCTGTAGGATGTCTAGGGCGCCATGACCATTAGGCCACCACGCTTTTCCAGCCGGAATAATCGCAAAAGATTAAACAAATGCAATATTTCCAATTAGTTTAATAGTTCAATTGTAAAAAGCTCCGAGCTATTACAAATTAATACTCTACCTTAAATAGTTATTAACCACACATTGGTAGTTTTCAAAGCAGCTACCATTAAGACCAGTTGTCTACAGTTGAAATTGAGAGATCGTCAGTTACTCGACACCTTTTCGCGTCTATTATAAATACCTTCAATATATACCTTTGAATATAAACCTTGTTTAGAAGACTCCATCAGTACAAGATATATATTTAAAGGTATATATTGAAGGTATTTATAATAGACGCGAAAAGGTGTCGAGCAACTAACGATCTCTAAATTTTAACTGTAGATGGCTGGTCTTAATGGTAGCTGCTTTGATAGCTCTCAATGTGTGGTTAATAATTATCTAAGGTAGAGTATTAATTTTTAATAGTTTGGATATTTTTAAACTAGCTGGAAATATTGCATTTGTTTAATCTTCTGCAATGATTCCGGCTGGAAAAGCGTGGTGGCCTAATGGTCATGGCACCCTAGACATCCTACAGGCGTGTAAATGGGTGGTGGCGAATTTAAAACGGTGAGAAACCATGTGATGGATTAGCATCCCATCCAGAGGGAGGGAGAGTAGAAATATTTCATTGCTTAGGCTGTATGGGCTACTGGCCTGACGCAGACTTTTTTTACTTCTAATACGTGCATCTCCATGAACAGCACCAATAAGTGTTTTTTTTTGGGACCCTCAGAGGAAAACTTCGTATTAAATTATTTAATTAAGTTGTGAGTTTATCATCAATTTTTAATCATCAATGTTCTTATTTATTTATCAATTTACTTTTATTTTTTTAAAAATTTATTATTTTTCGGCCATTCCAGGAATTCCGGGTATTCCGGGTATTCCGGGTATTCCGGTATTCCAAGTAGTCCCGTTCCGGTTTCCAATTCCGGCATTCTTCATTTTCCAAACTACCCTGGAAGCAGCAGATTCCCATGGTACAGCATTCCATTTCCTTTACGTATGCAGTTTATTTTGAGTTTAGTGAGAAAACTAATCTAAAAAAAACGCCAGAATAAAACGAGTAACACGAGATTTCGGGGAAATATGCATCTTTTTTTGGACGGCTGCGTAATATCGCGGCGGACAGCGACTGAGATGATCGACTGAGATTGGGTTCGAGGATTACGGGCTAGGGATTGGTCACGAGGTAATCACGGGTGCTTACAAGAATGAGTCACGCTATTAAGAATCAATTGGATGCGAGTCCCTAAAAGAGAGGATAGCTTTGTACGGTATTTGTTTCCTAGAGATTTACAAAATAATGTTGGGAGGACTGCTTTTCCTCAGTCTTTCATTCCTCGCTGCCTCAGCAGAAACTGGAAAGCACTGGGCTCTGATCGTAGCGGGGTCGAACGGTTGGTACAACTACAGGCACCAGGTAACCAACAGAATCGATCGGCAAGTAAACCTGCAAGGTCCACTCCACCCTTTTCAGTTCGGCATAAGAACGGCGAATGGTTGAAAATCCAATATTAAGATTCATCGAGATTTATACATGTGACATGTTATTCAGTAGTTTCACCATGTGACGGTGTAAAATTTAGGCGACTAAACGTTTCTTGAGGCTTGGGAATATTTAAAGTGATAGTTTCCCAGTTGCTTGCGTCATGCCGGCAGACGCTGAAAAGGTTTCTGCTCTGATCGTTACTTTTCCATTTCCCGAAACGAATAATCAGAATAATCAGTAATCTAGAGAAGTAAGTGAGGCATCGAGAGGTTTTAAACACGTCGGGTACCAATTTATCATTAAGTGATAATTTGTTCCAAATTCAATTAAAGTCACGAGACATGAAGTAAGTGGACACTTCCGCTTTCGAAGGTATTTGGGAGTTACGGTGCAAAGATTACTGTATAACTAGAAACTATTCTATCCCCGAAGGTATTTTTCCTCTCTTTTTTTCTTTTATCAAAAAACTGCATGTCTGATGAAGGATGGGGTTAAAGTCACGCTGTTTCAGGAAATTTTGGCGACAAAGTTCTTTTATTACCGTATTCAGGACATTGTGCGGTGTCAGCCAATTTGGTTATAACTCGAAACTGAAAACGACTCTAAACAGTCGTCGGAGTTATTCCTATTATGCCATATAATTTTTGAGCTTTGCTGTGAACCATTTTAATTTATTCAAAAACAAGTAAGGTATTAAGTGTAACTAACATTCTCTGTAATGTCCCTTCTGCTGATAACCATTATTATCATATAACGGGCAAAATTACTGAATTGTGATTGGACAAGACAGAGGGCATTTTTTCTTAATTTTTGTAATTGCCCCTGGCAAAATTACTTGAAAATGATTGGTTGAAAATCGCTTAGCAACGGCTGCCAAGGTAAAGAAATTTCTGTTTGTTTTGTAACAATGGCATCCCGTTTTGCGCAAGATCAGTAAGAAAACATTTTGCCCCTTATATTATAAACAAGTAATCACATGGTTCCTCGTAAAATTAAGGATTAATATCACTTGTGTTTTCGAAAGTTGCAGAAATTGCCCGAGTCGCTGTGCGACTCGGGCAATTTCAGCAACTTCCGAAAACACGCATGATATTAATCCTTAATTTTACTCGGCCCCATGCGATTACCTATACTAACTTCTTGGCGATGAGAAGAGTTAGATGCTCTCTTCTCAGAGAACTTAAAATGATGTGCACTTATTCTTGTTTTTAGGCTGATGTATGCCATGCCTACCAGATCCTCCACAAAAATGGCATTCCTGATGAAAATATTGTGGTCATGATGTATGATGACATCGCCAATAATCCCTCGTAAGTAATGGACCTAACTACAATAATAACAGGAAGACTATATCTTAGATCAAATTTCCCTCAGCAGTTATGCACTAAAATTATTGCTCAAACACATAGGAGACATGTTTTGAGTAAATCCAGGAATACGATGTCAGCCTACAGCAGAGCAAAACATTCACCAGCCAGTTCATTGCTTTTATTCAAGAGATTCAGTGAACCATGCCATAGACTGCGAGACTGGGATACTTTTTCTGTATCCAGGAGACTCTGGATCCTGCTGAGAATGTGCACCTATTCTGTTACCCATTTTTGCTCTAGTGTAAAGCATTTCTCCCATGATCCTCCTGTAAATGGTTGTTCTTGCATGTGAGTTGGGGCTATGTTGCTTCATACAATAAACTCTAGTTGGAATTTTGACTACTGTTGACTTATAACAATTCGTCAAAACAAGAGAAGAAGCAAGGACAAGAAAATTTTTTTGATATTTTGTCCATAAGCATCCCATTTAGCAAGGGACTAGAATTAATCAAACTAAAATGTAGTCTTGTTTATCATTAGGAATCCAACACCTGGCATCATTATAAACAAGGTTAGCTGACTGAATTATTTTATCTATGTTTAATTGATTCTTAACCATTGATGTATGTATCTAAGATACAAAAAAATTATTCTTCTTCTAGATGGCTACATATAAATTTTCTGTGTGGTTAGCATAGTGTAAACAAGTGTTGATAATTTTCAAGTTACAGAATTGTTATATCATATATTTAATCTGCTTAATCTGGAGTTTCATGTACCTGTAATTGCCCCAAGGAGCATGTGATATAATTAAGAAATGGCTAGCGTGCAGTGTGCAACCAACAAGTTATGGATACATATGGGAGGTTGCTAAGAACAAAAGAAGCGTGAGAGTTGCACTCAGCTGTCACCTTGAGTGACTATTATAGCATCTTGAGTTCTTAAAGCAAACCTACCAAGTGCATCCATAGCTCTTTGGTTGCAGGTTGCACACTAACCATTTCTTTTACAATCTTTTATTTTGTGCAGAAGAAAGAGCAGAACATTCTGTCATCAGCATGCAACCTGCGGGCAAATGGGTTAAGTGTATTAGCCAATCAGAGCACACACTTAAGTAAAGCTATGTTATAACATACTGTATTATAAACTTCATCACTCTCACTCTTCCTTACTCAGCCTAAAGGAGACGATGTGTACAAAGGAGTTGTTAAAGACTACACAAAAGAGGTAAAAGTTTCAAAAGTCAAATACAATCTTACACAAAAATTTTCAAGGAAATCTTCAAATGGTAGGAAGAGTTATATTTTACTGTCATTAATGGTAAAGTTCAAAGATTTTTTAAGTATTTCAGCACCAGGGTGTTCAAGTCAGGGGAAATTAATTTCAGAAAATTTGTCCATATATAATTGTGGCTTGACATTGTAGGTGGATATTGGTTACATGTACATCTCTACAAATTTATGTAACCACTAGAAGGCTGACTTTGAAACCCTATTTTTTAATTATTAGTTTATTTGATATGAAATGCAGTTTTCCAATTTCAACCTCACCTCTCATCCCTTAGCTCTAAGCCTTCACCTGACCCATCACCCCCATCTCTTACTCCTCAGCCCTCAGCCCACACTCCTCTCTGTCACTTATCACCCATCAGTACCCACTTACTCTTCCCCTTCCCCACCCCACCTCCTCCCTCAGCACTGATCATTCCTCACCCTTGGCCCTGTACCCTCTGGCTGCAATTCAACATCTCATGCCCAGTTCTTTACCCTTCAACCCTCTTCCTTAAGCCCTTGCCCCTAACCCAACTCCTCCTCCTCACTCGGCACATTTCATCATACCCATCAGTCCTTGCTCGTCACCCCTACCCTACCCCTTCTCCTCAATCTGCATTCTTCATACCCCACCCCTCAGCAATTTGTCCTCGTATTAATGTAGTTGTGTCTTGACATCATAGGTGGACTTTGGTTACATGTACATCTCTACAAATTTATGTATTATAATTACTTGAAGGCTGACTTTGAAACCCTATTTTTTATAGTTAGTTTATTTGATATCAAATGTAGTTTTCCACTTTCAACTTCACCCTTCATCCCTTAGCTGTAAGCCTTCACCTGACCCTTCACTCCCATCTCTTACTCCTAAGCCCTCAGTGCTAGCCCACACTCCTCTCACATTTTTCCTCTGTTTATCACTCACCACCCCTTAGTACTCACTCACACTTCCTCTCCCCCGCCCTACCTCCTCACTCAGCACTGATCATTCTTCACCCTTAGCCCTGTGCCCTGGGCCCTGTGCCCTCTGGCTGCAATTCAACATCTCATGCCCAGTTCTTTACCCTTCGACCCTCTTCCTTAAGCCTTTGCTCCTAACCCAACCCTGACCTCCTCACTCCCAGCGTATTTCATCATACCCATCAGTCCTTGCTCTTCAACCCTACTCTAACCCTTCTCAGTCTGCTTTCTTCATACCCCACCCCTCAGCCTTTAGTCCACACTCTAATTTCTCACACCTAATTCTTTGCCCTGACCACTGACATGTCACTTGTGTTACTCTTTTAGTTCCCTTCCCTCACTGTTCTAACCAATAAGAGTAGCCCCATGTAAGAAATGGTTCCTTTCTTTCCCTTCCATCACTGCTTCAACCAATAAGTGGTAGCCCCATTTTAGAAATGGTGTTAAGTCCAGTTATAGAAAATAAAATCTAGTTATGCATAATAACTAATAATTAGTTTGCTGCCATGACTGATTGTATAATTACATTAAACTTTTTTTATTGAAACAAAATCTGACAGAAAGACATAGAGGAGACATTCACAGGAGTTAATGTTCAGTTTCAATGCTTAACAATGTGACATTTTTCTCAATTTAATTATTTCATTGTTTAGGAAGTAACACCAAATAACTTCTTGAATGTTCTGAAGGGAAATAAACAAGCTATGAGTGGCATTGGCAGTGGAAAAGTGATTGACAGGTTTGGTATAAATTCAATGTATTAGATACTGCTGTAAGTCATCATCTTCATTTATTTTTGGTGACTCTAATGTACTGTATATAATTAATATGCATTTATATCAAGACAAATAAGAAGGTCATCTTTATCTTGATGCATGGCTAAAATGAACAGCCAATGCATCGTTTATGACCTGTCCAAAACAAGTCATTGTCCTGAAAATTTTCCTTGATTCATGTTAATTTCTGTTCTTTTCAGTGGGCCAAATGACCATGTTTTTGTTTATTTTACTGACCATGGAGCTCCTGGACTCATTGCATTTCCAAGTGATGAGGTGAGTTTGATTCAGGGTGTAACATGTTTATGCAGTGCATCAGGTACAACAGTGTAATCGCAAAATTCCCAAGTAAAGTAATTCTGCTTTAATGCATTGCTACACCTTTCAATCACTTTCCAACTCTGACATTGAGAACCAAACTTGGAATTTTGTTTCATGCCATCTTTTATCCTTTTTGTAACAGTCTGCCATCTAAAGACTACCTTCTGTGTCAGTCTGTGCATGTATAACAGGTACGACTGTAGCAGCATGTCTTGACACATTTTTTTGGAGGCTCCTGTAACAAAGAAAAAAACTTTCTTTCCAAAATTGTTCTCTCTTTCTTCGTTGTTATCCTCTCTCCCTTGGCCAATGCTAAAAAGGTGGAGGTTCTCTTGTTTCATGCATGGATTCTTTAGATTTTGATCTTAAAGAACAAAGTTAATATTCTCTCTTCAGTTGATGGCACCTGACTTAATAGCTGCCCTCAATGAGATGTATGAAAACAAGAAATTCAGCAAGGTCCGAGGAAAGAGTAGTCTAATAAATCAAATATTTAATACTTTATTTAGGAGATAATGTACTATTTACAAGTGTATGGCAATGTTTATGATGCACCTTGCTTCTTTTTGTTTAATCAAATGTACGGTAAATTTAAATTTCATTATGTGATAGTTGTCACCAGAGGTCAGTGCCAGGACATTGCATGTACATATTAAATGTATGCTGTTCCAGGCTCACAGATGTGTCAATGACAATTGCTAAGAAAAAGCAACTTTTCACCCAGTGTCATTAATTTTAATCATGAAATTATATATGAAATGGTTGTTAAGTTAAAAATTTGTAAGAAAAGTTGTGTGATCAACCACATGTAGGTGAGATCAACTGTTGTCAGTAGTAGTGATTGACATTTCGACAACGTACAATGTAAGCAGAAGCTATCATCAGAGGCTGTGGTGTCATTGGCTATAGGACTAAAGTATCGAAAGTCAGCTGTGATTGGTTAGCTTTGATCCATATGTGAAGCTGTAAGTTAGGTTGTAATGAGAGATTTAATGCATCTACTCTGATCCACTCTTCACGATGGAAATGTGGTGAGTACTTGCAAAAAATAAGATAAACAACTTGAAATAACTGACAACAGCTCTGGTATTATGTTTTCTCCCTCAGCTGGTGTTCTACCTTGAAGCTTGTGAGTCAGGATCCATGTTTCACAACAAGCTGAAGGACAACATAGACAGTATGTTACAGAGCCCTGTATTTCTGGGTCAAAATACATTTTTTGGGTTAATTTCAATGATAAAAAATGTAAATAAACAACTAAGAAAATTAAGAGAGTTTGGTTAGGATGCAAGGTTTCATGTAGAATCATAAGCTAGATAGCAAAACATCCGTTGAAGTTTTCAGATAACTTAACAGAGAACTTGCAGTCGTTTCTTCACCATGAAACATTTTATGAAGATTTGAGTTTCCATGTTTATGTCTAGCTTAATTCATTGTTGATCCGTGGTCGCCTTATTTTGCATTGGCTTGGAAGGGGGAGAGTGGAAATGGTATTAATGTATTACGATCAAGATAAGGAGAAAAAGGGCTGAGACAGAACATGAAGTGCTAGTCAGCAACACAATTTATCTTTATAAGTTGCGCAAAAAAATCTACCTTAAAGAGAATTCAATTGGAAATATCTTCTTGATTCAACTTCCAAATCATGTTTACGTATGATGCACGATCCTGCGCAGTAGATAGCGCTATTTATGCAATAGCGAAAATCAGACCTGAAAAAAATCAGGCCTGTACGGGATTCGAACCACTGACCTCTGCGATACTAGTGCAGCGCTCTACCAATTGAGCTAACAAGCCAACTGGGAGCAGGCCGTTAAGTTGATTCGTAATAAACCCGTGAAAGTGATAAATCAGATACAATGAAATATATGAAGTTCATATATTTTGAACTGCGGTATTAGATACGTATGATGCACGATCCTCGCAGTAGATAGCGCTATTTAAGCAATAGCGAAAATCAGACCTGAAAAAAATCAGGCCTGTACGGGATTCGAACCACTGACCTCTGCGATACTAGTGCAGCGCTCTACCAATTGAGCTAACAAGCCAACTGGGAGCAGGCCGTTAAGTTGATTCGTAATAAACCCGTGAAAGTGATAAATCAGATACAATGAAATATATGAAGTTCATATATTTTGAACTGCGGTATTAGATACGTATGATGCACGATCCTCGCAGTAGATAGCGCTATTTAAGCAATAGCGAAAATCAGACCTGAAAAAAATCAGGCCTGTACGGGATTCGAACCACTGACCTCTGCGATACTAGTGCAGCGCTCTACCAATTGAGCTAACAAGCCAACTGGGAGCAGGCCGTTAAGTTGATTCGTAATAAACCCGTGAAAGTGATAAATCAGATACAATGAAATATATGAAGTTCATATATTTTGAACTGCGGTATTAGATACGTATGATGCACGATCCTCGCAGTAGATAGCGCTATTTATGCAATAGCGAAAATCAGACCTGAAAAAAATCAGGCCTGTACGGGATTCGAACCACTGACCTCTGCGATACTAGTGCAGCGCTCTACCAATTGAGCTAACAAGCCAACTGGGAGCAGGCCGTTAAGTTGATTCGTAATAAACCCGTGAAAGTGATAAATCAGATACAATGAAATATATGAAGTTCATATATTTTGAACTGCGGTATTAGATACGTATGATGCACGATCCTCGCAGTAGATAGCGCTATTTAACTTACGGCCTTCTCCCAGTTGGCTTGTTAGCTCAATTGGTAGAGCGCTGCACTAGTATCGCAGAGGTCAGTGGTTCGAATCCCGTACAGGCCTGATTTTTTTCAGGTCTGATTTTCGCTATTGCATAAATAGCGCT